AAATATTTATTTTTACAGCTCTAAATTTCTACTATACATATTTTATTTATTTTAATATTTTTAGCCCTTTCCACATAATCGACACTAAGTATTCGTATTATAGAATCTACTGCTAAACTACTGCTACTATACACACACTGCCCAAGACGTCAAATTCATTCATTTACAAACATAACAACAATCATAATCATACAGTAAAATATACTTATAGACGAGTCCATATAAAATCAATAAAGACGTATTATACAAATGATGCTACAAAACACTTAACACGAGTCGTATAGTTGTAATAATACCATAGACGGCTAAGCCATAAAATAATAATGATAATTCCCTTCTAATAGAACTGCTATTATAATTGTATACCGCAGTATCCATGAATGACTTCATCGCATTAACATAAGTTAAAACAAGTATTAACATCGACTTATCCCATAGTTAAGTTGTAAAACCATAAAACCTTTATAAAATATGGAAACTAATCGAGGGAGGCATATTTTGGCATTAGTTTTACAGTTATGGTGTGGAAACACCATAATCTGCATCCCATAGATAGTCTAAACGATTATCTTTATTGACTGTTTATGGTCACTTTAATGGAGATTTTTAAACGATTTACGCCTACCCTAATGAATATTAACATTTTAGAATAGATTTATTATTGTAATACTGTAATAGGTATATTTAGGTATCAGAATATTATTACGCACTCAAAAATAATGATAGTCTGATTAAATTAATTAAAAACAATAGGTAGCGTGGGTAACTTCCTTGCTTTATCTAAGAGGTCAAAAGTTTAGCTGTCACACGAGGCAAAGCCACATTTCGGTATTAGTTTTAAATTATTTTAGAAGAAATATAAAATTAACTAAGAAATATAATCTTCTAAATTTATATAATTCAAAGGTGACTGACTGACTGACTGACTGACATAGTGATCTATCAACGCACAGCCCAAACCATTGGATGGATCGGGCTGAAAGGCATGCAGGTAGATGTTATGACGTAGGAATACGCTAAGAAAGGATTTTCGAAACTCCACCCCTAAGGGGGTAAAACGGGATCCACGTGTTCAAAGTCGCGGGCGGCCGCTAGTACCTACAATATAAAAGTTGCGATATAAACCCACGAGCTCTATGAAAATGCATCAACACGCGACGCATTATGTTCCTGCACTGCAAACTTCACTTGCAATAAATGCGCACTGTTCACGAAGATCCCATTATGTGTAATGTCTGCGGTGAAATCATTTTATATGGTGAATGTAACTTAAACATTTTCATTGAAAACTTCAACAAAGTCATCTTAATGGGTTTTCAGTTTCAGCAGCATGAAAATAATAAATACAAGCTTTTGTCCACCCGCCTGAAGTGTACATAGAAGTGACTTACGGCTATTAACACATTGGTAATATGGTTCCGGCTGTCTGGTATGCAGTCTATCTTGTCTTCATACCTGTCCCACCAAAGGAGCTGTCTGCATAATCCGGCTGTAAACAACGCCACGTGGGCAGCTAATGTAGCCCCGATGTAACGTAGTAGCATGCGTCAGCGCACCCCGCGGCACCTGTCGAGTGACGTATGCGCTGCGCGACTAATGATGTCATAACGCACGGCCTACGCGACAGCAAAGCTAATAACAGTGGTTACTTCTGTAGGCGTCTGGATTCGGGGACTTTGGCGTGGTTTAAACAGAAAAACGAACATATAGGTATTTTTTTCTTTCACATTGTGTGCCCCATTGCACCCGAAATTCTAACCTCTGGATCAAAAGTGTCTCTGACTGAATATTTACGAAACCACGGAGGCTTTTACCGCTGGCTAGCGATGAAACAAACTGTATTTCAGTTATGTTAAAGATCCAGAGTATCCTGATTACACAGATAGTGTAGCAATAAGAACAAGGAAGTAGTCTACCCGTTTTAGCTGCAAGTCCCAATTTTCCATCTTGTGCCGTTTTATGGACGATTTAGTTAGTCAATTGCTCTCAGCCACAGATCTCAGGCCAATTATAAAACGAGCCGACCTTTAGTCTTATCCCCTTCACTCTAATACCTGTAGTCCAGTCAATAAAGCATTATAGATGGAAAACTGTAGAACACAATTTCTGACTTCAGGACTTTACTTAGACTAGTTAGGAGGTGAACATAGCAAAAGTCCCCGCCCTTATCCCTTGAGCCTGCGGGGAGAGGGGGGTTTAAAGGTGCCACTTTTCGGTTTTTCGCTTAATCCTCGGAAACTATGCGTCCTAGTGACATGACTACTATGAACCAAAAAAAGCTTATTCAATTTGCTACAGGTGAGACCGTCAAGTTTTTCTATATCTTGTATAGTTTTTGCGGCATCTGCTCTAGAAGGTCTGTAAAATTGGAAATTTTATTGTTGTCTTACATGTTCCTTTCAGGAGAAAATCGACTAAATCAACATTGAGCAATCATTCTAGACATGCGGGAGCATGTTAAGCCTAGTTCCAGCGAGGGGACTACACCGTGCGTATATTTAGACGAATCACTTTGAGCCACTTTTGACTCCTCATCACTCAAAAACTACTGTGCATTAACACTTCAAATTTGGCTCATGTGTTGAGACTTGCAAGATATACATCAGTTTCAAATTTCATAAATATGCCTCAAACGGTTCTTTAGATTATTGACGTCCAAAAATCTACAAGTCTGACCTATAGACCAAATTCTAACCACTTCCAGGTGACCTCGAAGGTTCAAATTTGGCATCCAGAAAGGTAGTTATGTAAATACAAAGGAACAAATAAAAAACCAGTAAATTTTAACATTTCACATGTGATAGATAGATAGTAGTGCTCTAAATATCGATTTTTGAACGTCAATACCTAAATAACCGTTTGAGGTATATTTATGAAATTTGAAGCTGATGTATATCTTGCAAGTCTCAATACATGAGCCAAATTTGAAGTGTTAATGCACAGTAGTTTTTGAATGATGAGGAGTCAAAAGTGGCTCTAATTGGTTCGTCTAAATATACGCACGGTGCAGTCCCCTCCATGGAACTAGGCTTAACATGCTCCCGCATGTCTATAGTGTTTGCTCAATGTTGATTTAGTCGATTTTCTCCTGAAAGGAACATGTAAGACAACAATAAAATTTCCAATTTTACAGACCTTCTAGAGCAGATGCCGCAAAAACTATACAAGATATAGAAAAACTTGACGGTCTCACCTGTAGCAAATTGAATAAGCTTTTTTTGGTTCATAGTAGTCATGTCACTAGGACGCATAGTTTCCGAGGATTAAGCGAAAAACCGAAAAGTGGTACCTTTAAACCCCCCTCTCCCCGCCGGCTCAAGGGCTAAGGGCGGGGACTTTTGCTATGTTCACCACCTAACTAGGCTAAATAAAGTCCCGAGGTCTGAAAGTGTGTTCCACGGATTTCTCTCTACACCGTCGTTAAGGCGTTCATTGACTGGACTACTGCGCCTGATCTAAAATTGAAATTTAGATAGGCACTAAATTCCCTCCCGCAATTAAGTTTATTGTTACACTCGCCTCTAAATAACGGCCGTGTGCGCGCGCGCAGCGAATGCCATGTTAACTTGTGCTGCAGTCGGCTTGAATTATGTCGCCTGAACTAAGATTAATTTACAGTTGTGCCGATTATAAATCATGCTAGGTATTGGACCAACCTTAATGGATTGATTATTATAATTTTAATGCTAATGAAGTGTGAAAGATATTAAATATTATAGTGATGTAAAGTGATTAACATCGATAAATCAGTCGGTCAATGCGCGAAAGCTTTTAAAGCGTCATAAAAGCGAGCGAGCCCGGGAGCACTTAGCAGATCGCTCGTTTTTCGTCGTTTCGCTATCGGTGCGCATAATTTTGCATGTTAGAGCAGATTAATCGTCGGTTTCGCCAATAAAAGCGGCTCTATTGCTTGTCGAAGCATTAACAACGAGATAACACTCTTGTCTGCGCTAGGGATGTGCTTTGTTTCAAATTCGGACCATCGAGAGCCTTAACGTCGATACATATGAATCTTTCATATATCGTCTTGTACCTACGTTACGTACCGTACCGGATATAAAATCTATAAAAACCTGGGTCTTAACTTGAACCAATTGAATACCATACCAATTTATTAGTCTGCGCGCTCGTATTCTGAAAGCATTTTTAGATATTATTTGTAAAGCGTTTTTATGTGGATTGTCACCTACATATCACGGAAAACCATAACATTTTCTTAATCCTACATTTAAGTTTGTTCAGAGATGACTAGTGGGTAATAATTTTACCAGCATAGGGCAGATAGCGTGTAAAATCGTTGTTATTTTTATACATTTGCAAATCGATTAGATCTAAACATGCCGGCTGCAGCCCCTATCGATTTCTATGGGCACGTTAACAAAATCACTAAAACACGAAAGTGCGTTGGCAAGTTTACGGCGCGTGTAATAGATTTGCTATCGATACACGATACACGGCACACCCGAGCACAGCACAGCGCAGAGAAGTCGATGTCGAAACTAAGTAGAGATAGCTGATTGACTAATTATTATTGTTCGATTAATGTAAATAGGGACTTTACAAAGTTGACTAGAATTTAGCGGTCTTTAATTTCCAGACGTAACCTAATTGTCATGTAATTGTCAGGTAAGACCACCGCCATAACATTACTTTATTATTTGAGAACATTATTTATGTTTATGAGCAGCGCGCGCGNGGGGGGGAGAGTGGGACTACTCTACTGGTGCCCTGAAAATAACAGGGCATAGATAGATACCCACTACAATCTCCGCGGCATTCGTTATGACATTAAATCTTGAATCAACCTGACCTTTTAAAGGGCGCTTTAGGCATTCACTCCTATTATTATGAGCTAACTATGGCACCTAAATAGAGTTATGAATGATTATGACCTTAGGGTATATGAAATAAAGATGTAATTTTTTTTTTTTTTTTATGCTAGACAAGGCAGGTATTTGACCGTAATATACGTGTAATTAATCCAATTTTCCTTGTTCCAGGCTGCAACTGCTCGAAGCTCGGGTCGGAGAGCAACGCGTGCGACATCCGCACGGGGCAGTGTCGCTGCAAGCCCCACGTCACCGGCAGAGCCTGCGACACCTGTGAGGTAAATCTATTCTTCTTTTTCTTCTCCATTATGTTCTTTATTGAAGCCAGGAGTGTAGAGACAAACGTGTGTTTCCTCGCGATAATTGTCCTCTATCTTTAGGAAGTTTCATCAGAGCTCAATAGGAGTAAAAAAATGGCAGGTCGCGCTAGTAAAACAATGTGATATTTTCGCTATTTTTTACTCCCAAATTAACTTTAACCATACGGTACAAAAAAGCCACTTGGTAACTCTAGCAATAATCTGTAGATAGATCAAGAATAGTGTTCAGCAGAACTGATCAGTTTAATTGAAAATAACTATAAAATCTCATTGGAGTCCCGCGGGCCGAGGTCTGCCCTGCCAATGTGTATTTAAGTACAAAATATAGCGTGCTTAACAAGCCCATGAATGCCGCATTCTCAGTTATGCGAGCGCAGCTCTTGCACCGGCCTAACAAGATAATTTCAATATTCACTATACCAACAATCCGAGCCGACCTAAATCACCGCGACAAACGTGGAGTGACACTAAAATGTCTGTTACAATGATCAATTTGCCCCAGGGAAATGTCTCAGTGACATTCGCAGAGGAAACTAGGGTAACTGCATAATGGGTTACACGTTCAGAAGCCTCAGAAGTATTTCTTGATTTCAGCAGGTAGGTAACTACTTTTTCTCGTCATAGTAAAAATAACCTGTCTGAACCTTAGGGAGTGTAGACCAAATCCTCTATTTGCCTCTGACAAATTAGAAGCATGGTTCTCTTGCAGTAAAGGGTACCTACCTAAATTACCTGATGAGGAAAATGTAGAAAGAACATAAAAATACCTGTTTGTATTAATATTATAAAGAACTGTGGGTGGTTTTCTGAATAAAGAAAAATAAAATTAAATAGAAATAGTCGACAAAATTCGGACATTTAAAAAAACTATGTCTATGAATTTGGGGGATCAGTGCTTCAATGCTTCATTGTATCGAGTTGTATCTGTCAACTAGGAAAAAGGTGAGATTAGAGATCCCATTGTCATCGAAAAAGAGGAATGGTTTGCAAATCGCTCGGAGTAGCTTAGTCCGATAAACGGGACTATTCAGAACTATTCAGGAGATCCAGGATCTACAGCTTGATCGCCAATAAAAACCCAACCAGTGAATGTCATTGTCTAGTTTGTCCCAGGGGAAAGTTAAACTGTCATTGGACCCCAACGAAATTAATCAGAAGAACATAGACACACAGCCAGTCCGATAATGAAGAAGGGGTGAAGCGTCTTTTAGCTACTGGAACTTACCTCATTGTGGTAACGGGCCTGCGCGGGCGCGGAATCCGAGCCACCGTATAATGCCGATAATTGGGCTCGCTGCGGTCCCAGTGCCATTTATTCAATTAAATGTCAGTTACTGGCCTGGAACTGGGTATCGGTCCCGAATGCGAAAATTCGTTTGCATGCTGGGATTTCTTTTGGAGCTCTACAAAGGTTGCGAAGTAAATGAGGCTACAATAGCTCAACTATTTCGGTGTCAGCAAACATTGTGCGAATAATACTATACTCGCATGTATGCCTCCTTTTACTTAAATAACATTTATGGTAAATTAATTTCTACTACGGCATACAGTTTCATGAAATAAATCAGAAGAAACCGTGTCTTACAAAGCGTTTAGCATTTTCCAATCATGCTCTCATCTTATACCAAAAAATAACTTTATTCGAAGATCGTAACGTGTAAGTACCTAAAGTGTTTTCAAAATACAAAAAAAAAATGTTTTAATTGAAAAACACATACATGATACTTACTTTTCTGGTAAAGAAAACATACTTTAAAAGCCTTCAACGAAAGTCGTGCAAAGCCGTGCAAAGCCCTCCATCATGTCCGAATGTGAAGCGCATACAAATCCTGCGCCTGCGCCTAATTGACCGTTGTGAACGTGCATTCACTAGAGATGTACAGTCAGTCACGAAAAGGTAGTATGTCAATGTTCCAGATACCACACAATTTACGCCGCAGTACAGAAGTTTTTGAAAAACTACTTGGTTTTGTTAAAAAACATGTGGTTGACAAACAATCATCTTGATTTATTCCTAATCGAATAGTTGTAAGTCACACATGAATTAACTTAAAAGCTTAAGTTTCCCTACGTCTGTGGTCTAGTAACCGCCTCTGTGGTCTAATGGTAAGACCGCCTGCTTCAGACGCAGAGGTCCCGGGTTCGATTCCCAGTGTGGGCAGATTTACCTGTTCGGTTTGGTTGGTGGTAGAGCTTGTTCTAAGTCCGCCTGGCTAGCTACCACCATCTTATCTAAGTCTGTCGCCATAACAACAATGTTAACAGCTTTGTTGTGTTCCGGCAGTCAGAGGTAAGATAGCCAGTTTCTCTGTGGTTGAGGATTCCGGGTGAAGCTCGCTTCCACCTTTCGGACTGATCGGAGATACAGGCCAAGAGCTTCCTCGTTGTGGATAAAAAATAATACTTTATGATAAAATACTTGATCGACTGTACATCTCGTCGGCAGAATTCCAATGCAAATGCGTAATATTTAACTATCAAGTTAGTAACTCAATCATACGAAAACGGAACGGAATCAAATATCAATACGATATGACAGCAGACATGTTTATGTTGCCTCCGCCTCTAAATAGGCTAAACTTTATCTGACGTAATGAAAATTTATATTATTATAGATATTTTCACTAAGAAAGGCATAGAAGCAGCATGAAAGGACACGACTTTTTCTTATTCTTTAATTTCCTCGAACACTTGTGTATCTTTGGGCACTAAGTTTTATGTGGCAGTCTTTACAACGAATTTTGGTTGAACATGGTTACTTAGCGAGATGAAAATTTCGAAACAAAGCGCTATTTTGTTTACTTTTTCTGTTCACTAATTTACGTCAGAAAAGGATTTATTTTGTGAAGGTTTCACTTTAAATAAGTTAGTCGTTTATCTTAAGATAGAGCCTTGTTCCAAAAACCTGTTTATTTAGTCAATAAAACGTAACGATAACAGTCAAGACAAGCCTGACCATGACCCGCTACCAACGCTCTAGCTGACTCATGAGCCCTCCCCGTCTCACCTGCCACTCCTGCCATTCGGAGCAGCCGGCAATAAATTCGCCATTCGGCTCGGTAATTAGCAACCCATACATTACAGTTCCTCTCAAGAATGTAACTTCGGCCGTATAATTTTGCATAAACCCGCAAACCGACAGCGATGCTTGTACATTTTGCACATAGATCTGGAACGTTTAGACGCCGTATAAAATGATGTCGGCAACCGAATCCCGAATTTGGGACCCATCTATGTCCAATGAATTTGTTTTTGTATTGTACGCGTATACATTAACCAATAGGAAGAGGTTCGCGACGCAACGTTTTATTTAAAGAGCCCGTGTTGTAACCGCTATCCTTCTTTATAGTTGTTTCATACTCGCCATGATAGATCTTCAGATGTGATGTGTCAATGAGTGAAACTCATAGGTATCTGTCTCCAAGGGTTAACCTTTACAGTAGGTCAAATTTCATTTTTGACAGTGCCAATACTTGGGCATTGCGGCATCTACTGGGGCCACTTGTCTGCGGATTTGCATGATTTATGCAGGAAGAAATGGGCCTATAAAATATTCAGCGGTTTGCAGGAAGTACGGCGCTGTTCTGACACCTGACAGTCAGCTGGCTGCATCCTGCGGCTCCGGCCGGAGTATTTGCATAAAAACATGCATGTTTGTTTATCCCTCGGTCTACTTTTATTTTATTGTTGTTTAGTTATTTGTACTAGCAGACTGTTTCATAGAGCGCTGGGCAGGTATTCTGAACTGATTTCAATCAGTATTAAGTGTAATGAGTTGCCTTGGGCTGGCGAATATGCACCTGCTCATAAGTAATAGCTTTTCCTCTTGTAAAAGACGTCAAATATTAGGTACTGACCTTGGCTTTAAACTTTTATGATTCACTAGCGGCCGCCCGCGACTTCGTACGCGTGGATCCCGTTTTACCCCCTTCATCTATATTACGCGGTTTAGATTTTTTCATACAAATGTTTTTTCCCGCTAACTCCCGTTCCAGTGGGAATTTTGCAATATCCTGTTGTAACTAAGCTTTAAGTTTACTAAGATACCTGCATGCCAAATTTCAAGCGTCTAACTTAAGCGGTTTAGATTTTTCATACTAAAGGATTTTCCCGCAAGCTCCCGTTCCCGTGGGAATTCCTAAGTATACTATAACCTGCACAGGCGTATGAAGAATAATTGTACCAAGTTTCATTAAAATCCGTCGAGTAGTTTTTGTTTCTATAAGGAACATACAGACGGACAGACAGACAGACAGACAGACAGACAAAAATTTTACTGATTGCATTTTTGGCATCAGTATCGATCACTAATCACCCCCTGATAGTTATTTTGAAGATATATTTCATGTACAGAATTTACCTCTCCACAGATTTATTATAAGTATATAGAAGATTAACCGAATTTAAAAAGGTAAAAATATTTTTTTCTGCGACGTCTGTCTCTCACGCGTTGCTGCTATTGGACTTGCCAAACTAAATACGCGCCACCATAAAATGTTATCATGGTAGTTGTTAGCTACAGAAATGAAAATTGCTTAACTTTAAATACAAAACTGTATTTCAGATCACATAAAAAGCAAGGCAACATAATTATAGCGAAAACATGATGGATAACACCGTTGCTAGGCTGCAGTCCATAGACCATGGCCTAGCATCGGTGTTACCAGATCTGTCTCCAACAGTAGGTATTATTTTAGCGATTTTAGTCGGAATGTTTATCGTCTTAACTATTTAAAGTCCTCCATCATAGGCCTGTTAAAAACCAATGAAACTATTGTGTGATTCCCCAGGAAGGCTACTGGGGCCTACACGGCGGCGGGTGCCGGCGGTGCGCGTGCGGCGCGGGCGCGGCGGCGTGCGACCCGGTGTCGGGCGCGTGCGCGTGCGCAGCGGGCGTGGGCGGCGCGCAGTGCGACGCGTGCCTGCCCGGGTACTATGGGTTCGGGCCCGCTGGCTGCTTACGTAAGTTTTTTTAGTAAAATTTGAGAATTTACTGCCTTATTGGTTACTTCGATGAAGCGTAAGTAGGTATAAGGAGCACAGTGAGCTCTGTACAAATGTGTATTTAACGATGAAGAACGCGAATTATTTAATTATTCTAAGTAAGGTTTGTGCATAGCCAACTCATATAAATTCGTAGTATTACTAGCCGGACAACTAAACAGTTAACATGGTCCTTCGAGCCAGATATTAAATCTTTCTAAGACATTAATGTAAAGTCTAATGTAACCTATCATACATAGAGAGCTTTGGTACCATGAGTAAGTTCAATAATTCCGATATCACGATTTCATGAAGAGCCTTCTTTGTCAATTCTTCCAGCTTGTCCAAAATGCACGCACGGCAAGGTGTGCTCTCCGGACAGCGGGCGCTGCGTGTGCCCGCCGCGGTCCCGCGGGCCGGGCTGCAAGCTGTGTGCGCCCGGGTACTACTCGCGGCCCAACACTTTAGGATGCCACGCTTGCAGGTGCGGCCCTGGTGCTGTGTCAAGTAAGTAAGCAAGCTATCTTCATCATCATCATCTCAGCCATAGGACGTCCACTGCTGAACATAATCCTCCCCCAATGCTTTCCATGTTGCTGTTGTCCGGTTGGTAGCGACCTGTGTCCAGCGCCTACATGCTACCTTTATGATGTCGTCGGTCCACCTTGTGGGTGGACGTCCCACGCTGCGTTTTCAGGTAGGCGGCCCTTGCTGCCACATCGGCCGTCAGCTCTGCGTACTATGTAGTAAGATGTCAGGAGGTCCAAAACCCATCCTATCTACTGCAACATACGAAAGTAAATAGCTTTAGCTACTCAATTTCAGGTCAATTGCTCCAACTTTTTTCCACAAATCCCGAATATTTGTAATTTCTATCCCGTTAATCTCTTCACCTAAAGAAGTTAAATATTATGCTTGAGTCCTTCCTAACACAGTGGGTCCAGTCCAGGGTCGAAGGTGAAATGGATCGATCAGCGGCTCTCTGACCTCGAATCGATCGGCTGTTTGACACTGTTACCATTGAACTATTCTCGTCTTTCCTGGATGCATTCTTCACATTAGTACTTTTTCCAGACCAGTGCGACCCCCAATCCGGGCAGTGCAAGTGCAAGCTGGGCTGGGTGGGCGCAGAATGCGACCGCTGCGCCGCTGGTCACTTCGGCCCTAAATGTAGACCATGTCTCTGCCACGCGGACGGAACCAAAGACTGCGAGGACGGCGTGTGCCCGTGCGATGAGGAGGGGCGGTGCCCTTGTAAGGTGAGACAGACGAGGAAAGTCTTGTTTTTTTTTATCAAAAACAAGGAAGGTTTTAGCCTTGAGCTCTAGAAAATGATCATCAGGCCGAAGGTGCAAGCGAGTTTCACTCAGAATCCTCGTTTGCCTCTATCCTATAAAAATAAATCCTTAACTAAGGAGGAACTGGCAATGTTACCTCTATCTGTCGGAACACAACGCAAGTGTCGCAATTCTGTCAACAAGACCCAAATTCTACTTGCGCACCATTTACGAAAAACTTCTTCCTTGATCAGCCTCTAGGAGTCCACTGCTGGACATAGGTCTCCCATAACAAACGCAATTAGCGAGCTACTGATGCTGTTTTGTGTGCTTCCAGAAACGTCCACTGTTTCTACCCAAATATCACTGTTCCACAACATCCTCATTTTCCAGGAAAACGTAGTAGGCGACAAATGCGACCAATGCCTCGAAGGGACCTTCGGGCTCTCAGCGGCCAGCCCGTCGGGCTGCACGGCGTGCTTCTGCTTCGGGCGCGCCGCGCGCTGCACGCAGGCCGCACTCTCCCGCGCCGCCGTGCACGCCGCTGCACCGCAACACGTCACGTTGTTAAAGGGAGACCAGAATGTTACTGTGAGTAGCATAGAGTTAAGTTGCGGGTACCAACTCTTCCAAGAATTTTAGGCCGTTTTCTGACATAAATAAATAAATAAATTATAAAATAAATAAATTCTTTATTGAATAACTTATTGACAGTTTTTAACAATAGGCTAATATTAAACTATAATAGGTAAAAGTACATACGTGCCTGAACTAAGAATTATAATTCCTGTATCTCACATGTCGGCATATCGGCATACTAGGTTGAGGTCTGTCCATCAGGAACGCGCCATTAAAATATAGGTGCTCGGTAAGTTTTCGGTACAGCGTATACCGAGCGTGCTGATGTCGTGCCGCTGTCGAGCCAACAAGTCAGAAAACGGCCTTAGGCCGCGCTCTCCCGCCGTTCACACCATCAACAAGTCACGTTGCTGCGGGGAAACCAGAATGTCACTGTGAGTATCAAAGGGTTTAGGTGGTGTTGAATGCCTATTGTATTATCTTCCATGACTCATAGGCTGGGCTATCCCGAGCCGCAACAGATCACGTAGCAGAAACGGAACCAGAAAGTGACCATGAGTATCATAGAGTCAAGTTGCTGGTGTAGGTCTATAAATTCTTCCAAGAATCTTGCCTGCTCTATGCCGCACCGCAAGACGTTACACTGCTCAAAGAGGACCAGAATGTTACTGTGAGCATGAGAGTTTAGTTGCTGGTGGGAGTCTACCAATTTTTCCAGCAATCTTCTACGTCTTTAGTTATCTGCCATTAATATTCAGCTCACGAATTCTTAACTCACCATATGAGTATTTCTAAGCACGACGCTGACCGATCCATTATAGTAATTTTAATCTCTATTAACTTGTATCAGAGTAAAAACAAATGAGTAGGTCATCTTCATAGAAACGCTCGGGCGCGGTTTGTATGTGAGCGCGTCAACACGTATGCGGCGCGCACGCACACACTGTCAAAATTTAGCGGGGATTAGCGGGAAGCCAGTCGTGGTTGCACCGAATTTTGTCAGTGTGTGCGTGCGCGCCGTACTCATTTGTATTTACTCTGCTTGTATTGAGTATCATTTTCATTCTACAGATGGACATAGACAAACCCTTCACCATCCACCCTCAACACCCAGACACCACCATCTCCCTCCCCTGGCCGCCTGTCCCCGTCTACGTGGCCTTGGACCGACGGTTCCTGGGCGACCGCGTGACGTCATACGGCGGCGCCATGCGGTTCACGGTGGAGGAAGAGGGAGGGGAGGAGCTACCAGTGGAAACCATGGCGCTGTTCCCGCTAGTCAAGATTGAAGGGAACGGGATTGTGCTGAATCATTATCAGGTGAGATATAGATTTTTGAGCTGTCAAAACGCGATTCTTCCATAGATTTTGTGGCAAAGAGGATTTAACCGCCTCTGTGGTCTAGTGGTAAGACCACCTGCTTCAGACGCAGAGGTTCCGGGTTCGATTCCCAGTGGGGGCAGATTTTTTTGTTCGGTTTGGTTGGTGGTAGGGCTTGTTCTAAGTCCGCCTGGCTAGCTACCACCATCTTACCTAAGTCTGTCGNTTTGCTATATTCACATACAAACGCCATTTATGTACCTACATAATCAGCAGTGACTGTGATAAACAGCGCAGAAAATATATTTATCGATTGTGGTACAACCCTAGTGTAAAACGAAAATTATTTCTTTACACAAAATATTCATAAATTCTGGATTATGAGCATGAAATCTTTGCTTACAACTCAAATTAATGTTTAAAGAACATAATTATCACACTTAGTGCTTAAAATTCTAAGCGCATTCTCAAAAATAAAGCTTAAGTTTGGAGGTGTCGATTTCAATAAATTTACCTGTGAAATGAATATTTTGCAGGATTATTCCTTTGGTGTACATCACAATCAAGGACGGAACAGGTCACTATTATATTAGAAAACAAATTTTCCAAAAATAAACAGGATTTTACGATATTTTTATAAAAAACTATGAATTAAAATTTTCTTTGTGCCTCTTAGTGTCACTGCCTGTCAAATCTTTTGCAAAAATGGTTCTATTGACGTGACGATGACAGCATCACACATCTCTTTTTATCACACAGGGTTGCAGATAGTGACATCTCGCTCGCTCATTCTTTGTTGCTCTATTCCGAAGGAATATTAACTTTATGGGTTGAACATGGTAACTTAGGATGATGGAAATTTCGAAACATAGCGCTATTTTATTTACTCTTTCTGTTCATAAAATTACGTCAGAGAAGGATTTATTTTGTGAAGGTTTCACTTTAGATAAGTTATATTACTCGTTTATCTTAGGATAGAGCCTTGTTCCAAAAATTTGTTTATTTAGTCAATAAAACGTAACGATAACAGTCAAGACAAGCCTGACCATGACCCGCTTCCAACGCTCTAGCTGACTCATGAGCACTCCCCGTCTCACCTGCCACTCCTGCCATTCGGAGCAGCCAGCAATAAATTCGCCATTCGGCTCGGTAATTAGCAACCCATATATTACAGTTCCTCTCAAGAATGTAACTTCGGCCGTATAATTTTGCATATAAACCCGCAAACCGACAGCGATGCTTGTACATTTTGCACATAGACAACTGGAACGTTTAGACGCCGTATAAAACGATGTCGGCAACCGAATCCCAAATTTAGGACCCATCTATGTATGCCCAATGAATTTGTTTTTGTATTGTACGCGTATACATTAACCAATAGGAAGAGGTTCGCGACGCAACGTTTGATTTAAAGAGCCCGTGTTGTAACCGCTATCCTTCTTTATAGTTGTTTCATACTCGCCATGATAGATCTTCAGATGTGATGTGTCAATGAGTGAAACTCATAGGTATCGTCTCCAAGGGTTAACCTTTACAGTAGGTCAAATTTCATTTTTGACAGTGCCAATACTTGGGCATTGCGGCATCTACTGGGGCTACTTGTCTGCGGATTTGCATGATTTATGCAGGAAGAAAAGGGCCTATAAAATATTCAGCGGTTTGCAGGAAGTACGGCGGTGTTCTGACACCTGACAGTCAGCTCGCTGCATCCTGCGGCTCCGGCCGGAGTATTATTTGCATAAACATGCATGTTTGTTTATCCCTCAGTCTACTTTTATTTTATTGTTGTTTAGTTATTTGTACTAGCAGACTGTTTCATAGAGCACTGGACTGGTATTCTGAACTGATCTCAATCAGATCTTATGCTTATTTATGTGTAATGTAATTGCCTTGGGGTGGTGTACGAATATGCCTGCTCATAAGTAATAGCTTTTCCTCTCGTTAAAGACGTCAAATATTACTGGCCTTGGCTTTAAACATTTACATTCATTAACCGAATTTAAAAAGGTAAAAATATTTTTTGCGATATCTGTCTCTCACGCGTCGCTGTTATTGGACTTGCCAAGCTAAATACGCGCCACGATAAAATTTTGTCGTGGTAGGTATTATTTTAGCGATTTTAGACGGAATGTTTATCGTCTTAACTATTTAAAGTCCTCCATCCTAGGCCTGTTAAAAACCAATGAAACTATTGTGTGATTCCCCAGGAAGGCTACTGGGGCCTACACGGCGGCGGGTGCCGGCGATGCGCATGCGGCGCGGGCGCGGCGGCGTGCGACCCGGTGTCGGGCGCGTGCGCGTGCGCAGCGGGCGTGGGCGGCGCGCAGTGCGACGCGTGCCTGCCCGGGTACTATGGCTTCGGGCCCGCTGGATGCTTACGTAAGTGTTTAGCTAAGGAAGGCTACTGGGGCCTGCACGGCGGCGGGTGCCGGCGGTGCGCATGCGGCGCGGGCGCGGCGGCGTGCGACCCGGTGTCGGGCGCGTGCGCGGCGCGCAGTGCGACGCGTGCCTGCCCGGGTACTATGGGTTCGGGCCTGCCGGGTGCTTGCGTAAGTGTTTAGCTAAGGAAGGCTACTGGGGCCTGCACGGCGGCGGGTGCCGGCGGTGCGCATGCGGCGCGGGCGCGGCGGCGTGCGACCCGGTGTCGGGCGCGTGCGCGGCGCGCAGTGCGACGCGTGCCTGCCCGGGTACTATGGGTTCGGGCCTGCCGGGTGCTTGCGTAAGTGTTTAGCTAAGGAAGGCTACTGGGGCCTGCACGGCGGCGGGTGCCGGCGGTGCGCATGCGGCGCGGGCGCGGCGGCGTGCGACCCGGTGTCGGGCGCGTGCGCGGCGCGCAGTGCGACGCGTGCCTGCCCGGGTACTATGGGTTCGGGCCTGCCGGGTGCTTGCGTAAGTGTTTAGCTAAGGAAGGCTACTGGGGCCTGCACGGCGGCGGGTGCCGGCGGTGCGCATGCGGCGCGGGCGCGGCGGCGTGCGACCCGGTGTCGGGCGCGTGCGCGGCGCGCAGTGCGACGCGTGCCTGCCCGGGTACTATGGGTTCGGGCCTGCCGGGTGCTTGCGTAAGTGTTTAGCTAAGGAAGGCTACTGGGGCCTGCACGGCGGCGGGTGCCGGCGGTGCGCATGCGGCGCGGGCGCGGCGGCGTGCGACCCGGTGTCGGGCGCGTGCGCGGCGCGCAGTGCGACGCGTGCCTGCCCGGGTACTATGGGTTCGGGCCTGCCGGGTGCTTGCGTAAGTGTTTAGCTAAGGAAGGCTACTGGGGCCTGCACGGCGGCGGGTGCCGGCGGTGCGCGTGCGGCGCGGGCGCGGCGGCGTGCGACCCGGTGTCGGGCGCGTGCGCGTGCGCAGCGGGCGTGGGCGGCGCGCAGTGTGACGCGTGCCTGCCCGGGTATTATGGGTTCGGGCCCGCTGGCTGCTTACGTAAGTTATATTTAGTAAAATTTGAGAATTTACTGCCTTATTGGTTACTTCGATGAAGCGTAAGTAGGTATAAGGAGCACAGTGAGCTCTGTACAAATGTTTATTTAACGACAAAGAACGCAAATTATTTAATTATTCTAAGTAAGGTTTGTGCATAGCCAACTCATATAAATTCGTAGTATTACTAGCCGGACAACTAAACTAACATGGTCCTTCGAGCCAGATATTAAATCTTTCTAAGACGTTAATGTAAAGTCTAATGTAACCTATCATACATAGAGAGCTTTGGTACCATGAGTAAGTTCAATAATTCCGATATCACGATTTCATGAAGAGCCTCTAGTTCTTTGTCAATTCTTCCAGCTTGTCCAAAATGCACGGACGGCAAGGTGTGCTCTCCTGACAGCGGGCGGCGTAAGTGTTTAGCTAAGGAAGGCTACTGGGGCCTGCACGGCGGCGGGTGCCGGCGGTGCGCATGCGGCGCGGGCGCGGCGGCGTGCGACCCGGTGTCGGGCGCGTGCGCGGCGCGCAGTGCGACGCGTGCCTGCCCGGGTACTATGGGTTCGGGCCTGCCGGGTGCTTGCGTAAGTGTTTAGCTAAGGAAGGCTACTGGGGCCTGCACGGCGGCGGGTGCCGGCGGTGCGCGTGCGGCGCGGGCGCGGCGGCGTGCGACCCGGTGTCGGGCGCGTGCGCGTGCGCAGCGGGCGTGGGCGGCGCGCAGTGTGACGCGTGCCTGCCCGGGTATTATGGGTTCGGGCCCGCTGGCTGCTTACGTAAGTTATATTTAGTAAAATTTGAGAATTTACTGCCTTATTGGTTACTTCGATGAAGCGTAAGTAGGTATAAGGAGCACAGTGAGCTCTGTACAAATGTTTATTTAACGACAAAGAACGCAAATTATTTAATTATTCTAAGTAAGGTTTGTGCATAGCCAACTCATATAAATTCGTAGTATTACTAGCCGGACAACTAAACTAACATGGTCCTTCGAGCCAGATATTAAATCTTTCTAAGACGTTAATGTAAAGTCTAATGTAACCTATCATACATAGAGAGCTTTGGTACCATGAGTAAGTTCAATAATTCCGATATCACGATTTCATGAAGAGCCTCTAGTTCTTTGTCAATTCTTCCAGCTTGTCCAAAATGCACGGACGGCAAGGTGTGCTCTCCTGACAGCGGGCGGTGCGTGTGCCCGCCGCGTTCCCGCGGGCCGGGCTGCAAGCTGTGTGCGCCCGGGTACTACTCGCGGCCCAACACTTTAGGATGCCACGCTTGCAGGTGCGGCCCTGGTGCTGTGTCAAGTAAGTAAGCTGCCAGGATGTCCAATACCCATCTTATGTACTGCAATGTACCACAGTTAATAAAACTTTAGCTACTCAATTTCAGGTCAATTGCTCCAACTTTTTTCCACAAATCCCGAATAATTAGTAATTTGTATTCTGTTAATCTCTTCACCCAAAGAAGTTAAATAAATTGTGCTTGTGTTAGGAGTGGGTCCAGAGTGTCGAAGGTAAAATGGATCGACTAGATCAGGGGTCTCCCAAACTATGAAGCCTTGGGGCCATAATATTTTTTCGGT